CACGTGGCAGGAGGAGCCAGGGATCGATCCAACAACCTTCTGATTGGGGGACGACCCGCTCTGCCTCTGAGCCACAGCCGCCCCTGAATGAAAATGTTTTCAATTAAAGCAATTTTAAAAGAAGTAAAATAAAATCTACTCACCAATGTAAAGCTGAATTGACAGATGCTAAACTCCTTCCCTGAAAAACCGTAGTCTCTAAATTTACTGTGAATTTTGAGTGACAGATCTGCTCTCCTTGTTGTAAACTACGTATGTAACGGCATAGCAACAGTATCTAAGAGTGGCACAGCATAGCAAATGGTCATAAGAATCATAATGCACTCTTTTTAATACATCCAGGGGTTTTTAGCTACAGTCTTACTTGATCTGGTCTAACCAACAGCTTATGGTGGCTAATGTTAGCTAAATTAATATGTATATATATATGTATATATATTAATATCATTAGTTGTTAATCAGTAAGTTTGTATGACTTCTCTACTTGATCTCCTGTTACACTTCATTTTAGCATGTCACAGATAAACTTTAAAGCAACTGACTGTAGGCAAATTCAATGTGCCATAGTCCTGTAGTTACCTTTTGTGGCCACAGTGGTCGCTGTTTAGCAAACGTTATGTGGTCTCCCTTTTTAAATTTTTAAATGTGTTCCATTGTCCGTATTTCTTGACCAAAATTGCCTACCTGTAATGCTTTTCTTCCTCTTTCTAGGAAATCAATAAGGTCAAGAAAATCAACATTTCTTCGTAGGAGACAGCAGCACCTCTTTTCTTTTTTTTTAGTCGTGTCCAGCCACTCCTCACCAAAAGCACAGACCTCCATTCCAGTCGTGAACATTCCCTCAGATGGCGGTCTGTGAACCTCAGACATCCCTTAGCGGATACATATATACGTAGGTTTTACACGGTGTTTAGAAGTAGTTATTACCAAATGTTAACATGCTGTAAAGTGGAACATTTTTTTTACTGACAGGAAGCAGTTTCCATATTTTTTTATTTTCAATTGTATGAAGAACAATATACTCCAATAATGCTTACTTGATATGTGACTGGCATGGTGTGCAGGGGTGTTCTGTTACTGAACACAGATACACCGCTCGCAGCTTTGTCCTCTCACCAGCCTGGACTAATACAAATCGGAAGTAACATAACTCATTCCATCGTGTGGATAAACTGGTCTTTCAAGTGTGTGACAAAGCATTTTTCTGCATATCATTGTTAAAGGCAACGAGTTATGATATTCTTATTGCCTTTTTTTTGTTGTGCAACCAGTCACACTGTGTTGATGGCGAAATCCATTTACAGAGACCGTGAAATGTACTGATGACAGACATAGTAAGTCTGATGTCAGCACCACTGCACACGTTTAGCTCAGGAGGGAAACCTCATCAGCACTACAACTGATTTCTAGATAACATGGCGGCTGTTTACTTTCAAAGGGTACATGCAAGTCAACCATACTGTTGATATAATAATAAAACTATTCCAGTGCTGGTAAATATTTTTTTCTTTTTGTAAATTGCCACAGAATGTGCTAACTCCATTAAAGTTTGGTTTGCTGTATAACTATATTTGCTGTTGTGCTCTAGTAGGATTAAATCCCATGATAGAGTAGAAAATGTCGCTGACAATACAGCTTTTTTTTTTTTGTGTTATAACAGAACAACTGTTTATTTTCCAGTTGTAAATTTATAAAACTTTTATATTATGTAACATTTTGCAGCTTCACCTGTACAGTAAAATGACATACAGCGGACTGTTTTGATTCCTAACAGTAATTTTTAACTTTGAAGGAAAAATAAATTGCATGTTTAACTTTTTATATTGCTTAGGATGAAGCACACACATCTCCTTTTACTTGAAAACAGAGAGAATATTTATGACCCATCTGTAATTTGGTATGTGCTTTTTCAAAATGTTAAAAATTTTTTCCACTTAAATACAGTAATTAATTGTTACATCAAACTCAATGAGATGCATGCAGTCCTCTGGTTTGCCATTTAACACTTAACCAGCTCTTATAATAATAATAATATGCTTGTTGTGGAAAAATATAATGTATTCCTTAAGTACATTAAACATCCAGCAGTTAATGTTATATGTTAAACCTTAAATAAATATGTTATAATACAATGCCGGAAGAAGAATTATTTGTATGTGTGCATAAATAAGAGTTGTGAAAGAATCTGGTCATAGTTATTATTTGCGGTACATTTATTTAATTCAGATTTAACACTGAGTACTCAAACATGTTTTCAAAAACTACGCATGTACAGTACAAGCAATTACAATCTGTTAGTGCTCTAATATTAATACATAACAGGATCCTTGTAACTGACTAAAAGACTTTTTAAAAACAACACAAACACACAAATCTTTAAGGGGACAGTTAGTGTATTCTCACTTTTTAAATTGCATTGACAAGGTAGTAAATTCTGTGAGCTCAAGTACTTTGCATAAACATTTTCTTGCAATCAATACAACATTGAAGATCTGGTTACTCTCGATAAACACATCTGCTTTGGAAAAGCAAATACATGCAGTCACTCGTTTAAATATCTAGCCCTTACATATGAATATCCCTGTGATATTCTGTGAATTCCCAGGTAATTGCACTGCATTAACAGACACAAAATGTCTAAAAGGCTGAGTATAACATTCAATACACAATTAATGGTAGAAACACCTGTTTCACAATAATAGATGATGTAAATGCAGTCAAATACAGAGATCTGATGTGAAACAGGCTGTCAGTCTGACCTAAACAATAAATCATTCGCAAACAACCAAAGTAGAAGTGAACTTATGTTTGATTTTAGCCAAACCGACTACAATTTGACCGCACATCTTTGATTAAATTTAAACAACACCCCATGGACCACAATGGTCAACGAAGTTCTGTTGTTAATTTTACATAATCAGTGTTGAATATTTAAATGAACTTATAGCAATACTGGACTAGAAACATGTAGACATGACCTCATTAATGGTCATTAACTCCAACATTTGCTGCTCCAGGAATCCAAGGCACTGCAAAAGTGCAAAAGGTAACATTTCTTAAAGGTACAAAAGTAAAACCAAAAAAATATATCTACCAAAATATACTGTATTATTTGTTTATGTTTATAGCAAGAGTCTCCACTGAGGATAATGCTTGGATTGGTTAATATTGGTGGGTCATGGTTCATGATTTGAGGTTCAAGAGAAACGTGATTTTCCTCTACAAAATGACGATGAAATTGTTAATCAGTAAAATCAGTTAAAACATTAATTTATTGGATTCTGTTCACCATGTATATTGTACACAATATACATCATAAAGCAGTTGTAACACAGCTGTTTGGGACTGACTTACAGTTACATAGCTATACCTACATTTTCCAACTCTAAGAGACCATCTGACTCTAACCATTTGTCAAGAAAAAGACTCACAAGGATGAGCCTATTTTCTGATGGGCAGCTTTAAAATGGAATGGTCTGTCAAATGCAGTAAATATACTTCGGGTCAGGATATGTCTCATTTAAGTAGAAATGTCCCCATTTAAGACTAAGAGGGTTTGTGGTTCCAAATAAAAATAGTTTGCTACTACTGGTTCTGATAAAGGTTATCACTGATTTGAAGAGTAACTGGGTTGCCCACTGATGTGTAGCCGTAGGTCTGAGTTGACACTTTGGTTTTAAAGCTCTGCTGCCCACCCTCGACCCTCTGCACCTCCGAACAGTATGAAGGCTTCACTTCCAGCTTTGCGTGGCTCACTTGGATAGGGACGTGCCTTTCCGTCCTGGACCGGGCTCCGCTGGCTTGGGGGACAGCAGATGAGAAAAGGTTGCTGGAGAGATGCTCTCTGAAGCGACTGAAGAAGCCGCCTCTCTGCCTCGGGGCCGCGACAGGCCGGCCCACGTTGAGGAGCACCGGCTGTCCCACTGTGGACCCCCCAATCTCCCTCTGGAGCACAGAGATCTCACAGGGCTTTTCTGCGGCAAGGTTGTGGGTGTTGGAGGAACCGTAGGTCTCTCCTTCTTCTGGGACATAATCCTCCAAGTCTTCAAGGGTTAGGACGCGGCCTCCTTGCGTCAGAATCTGAGGCTCCGGCTCCTGCTTTGTGAACGAGTTAAGATCATCATCTTCATCATCGGGTTCGAAGATGACAGTTTGTTGATCATCCTGGTCCTCGCTGTCCTCCCCAGCTGGAGTGAGGACAGATGAGAGCTCATGTGGCTCTCCGGTGATTCCGGTGACAGAATCAGAGGTGACATTACTCTCCTCTTCTTCCCAAGAGAGCGGCTGGCTGCTGACGTCTCCCTGCAGCTGGGCCTGCTCCACCAGCTTGTTGTTGGAGTTGTTAGTGTTTGGGTTTTCCAGCAGAGATCTTTTGGGTCTGGAGGAAGCGGCTGCACGTTCAGACCCTGCCGGTGAGATGCCTCTCCTCCTGGGCAGCCTGGGGGATTTATTGACCTTATACTCAATAACCTCCTCTACCTCAACCCACCTGGGCTTGCTCTCCGTGGCCCTGGCTCCAGCACCCTCGGGTTCGGTAACATAGAGGGTCGGGATGGTGGTCTTTCTTGGAGTGGGCATCCTCCTCAGCCTGGCTGCAGGGGGCTCTGGGGTGGAGGTCTCCGAGCGGTGAGCTCCGGCAACTGTTAAGCCAGGGGACCTGTGCCTCCTCATGCGGGGGTTCTTCACCACAGTGGTTATAGTCTCCTCACTGGCATAAAGAGAAAGAGACAGCACAGTAAGACAGCTGTTGGAGGCAAATCTATCAATGCTGTGTGAGGAGCTGCAGTAATGAAGTTGCCTGTTAAAGCCAGCCCATCCTTTTTATCATCCTTGTGATAGAATCCTTTTGCACTCAGGCTTTAAATAGTACACAACAATGCATATATGGGGCCACGAAAAGAAGCACATTCACACATCCTTTTTATCTTTTAGCGGGCCGTACACAGCAAGGCCAAAAATAAAACATTCAGTGGATCTGTATCACAAGGCAAGCGACTAGAGGAAATTCAATCCCGAAACAAATAGCGTTGAAGATTACTGGTGTTGACAATTTATTTCTATAGTCTAAGTAACATTTCTTACTGCAGTAAAACATGTAAGACACTTACATGATGATGGTTTTCCTTGGTATTCTTGTCTCCTGCTCAGTAACTTTGGGAGGAAGCAGAATAAATTATATTTAATAAACAAAATAACAGGCTTAGTCTACAAAATTGAGTTCCCCACCCTAGGGTTCTTGACCCCAGCTAAGGATCACCAAAGCCTCACAGGTGGTCGTGAGGCCTTCTTGATTTTAGGGAGTGCAAGAAAACCTTTTTAGCCTGTATCTCAGAATTTCATTCATTTCTCTGCAGAAAACTAAATGCATTTTTTTTTAAAGTTAAGACTACTATTTTAAAGTTGAAACAACCAAAGAGCAAATATAAAAAAGGGCATGCGCCAGGGACAAGAAAATACTGAATTTGTCAAAAATGAAGCCTTATAAGTATGTATGATTGTTCAAAATACAGAATACAGAATACTGATTTAGTCAGGAGTCGTCAGCTTACTCAATGACAGAAAAGGGGCTTAAGGAAAAGGGTTGAGAAACACTGATCTACAGTATAAGATGCATTAACTAATAAACTGTATTAAAAGCAATATTATTCAGCCTGAAAAAAATGCATATTATACAAAGAGTCAACCGAGTCTCCTTTAGTAAGGAAAAAGTAAGTGTTCCTACCTTCAATAGTGATGGCCTGCTCACCAGTGCGAGCCACAGCAGAGGGTGGAACTAAATCAGCAGCACATTTAGCACTGCCCAGACGGTTAGACAACTGCAAAAGCAGGGAATATATTTTTAGAGTCCTAAAGATTGTTGTTAATTGAAATCAGCTAACTTCAACTCTTGGGTCTAAATACAATTATAAAGCCAAATAAAATTGATTGAGAGTTGCACAGAATTTCTGCCCACAGGCAATGTTTATACTCCACCCCCTCTAAATATTAGTTTAAATAACACTATAATAACATTTGTGATTCAAGTCTGTTTTTTTTTACCTCACACTCATAGTGTCCCAGGTCTCTCTCTGTCAGGTTTTTTATTACCAACACCAGAACCCCACTACGGAGCTCGCTGTAGGTCTGATACTTTTCCTGGTCAGTCAGCAGCCTACCGTCCTTGAACCACCTTGACCATAAACAGATACACAAAGCCAGAGAAGAGAGGAAGACCTTAACACATGGGGCAACGGAAGTTGGATGGGACCTCCTGAATTAAATTCAAATGTTCGGCAAAATTGTTGTGTCCATACCTGATCTTGGGGCTGGGGGCACTCTGTATGACGCAGGTGAATTGACCATCCTCACCAGCGACAAATATAGCATTCCTCATTTTATTCACAAAACGTGGCGGCACTACAAGAAATATATCAAAATATAATACATGTTTAAACACTACAGAGATTAGTCATGAGTGCTGGAGTGTTCTCTGAAACAGCTGAATAAACCACTCCCTTGTCTAACTTTTAACAGAATAAATCGGCTTCACAAAAATCACTTAATTCCAAAAAGTAAATTTTCTTTGTTGCATTGCACTGCAGTTATGAATCAAAGCAGTATTTTAGGACACGATCACACAGTATGCCACTTACCTTGAACAGTGATCTTGCCAAGAGTGCTGGCATTGCCAGCTGAGCTTGTGGCAAAGCACATGTACTGGCCAGAATCATCTGCTGTCATGTTATCCAAGATCAGTGTGCAGGAACCATCAGGGTCCTCAATGATAATGTGATGAGGATCTGCCTCCACAGCACGCCCATCTACATTGAACAAGTAATCAGTGCATTGATGAAAAACATTTGGTCTCAGATGCTGTTTGCATGCTGAAGTTAGTCTCTGGTTAAGGGCATGTAGCATTACTCCTATTAGTCTTTATACTGTACAATAGAGCAAATAGCCTAAAAAGGTGGTGCAGATGACGTACCCTTGTACCAAGTGACTGTAGGTTTGGGTACTCCAGTCGCTTTGCAGGCCAACTTAACTGTCTGTCCCAGCTCTGCTGTGCAGTTTGCCAGAATTTCATCAAAGTCAGGAGGACCTGTAAAAGGATATTATTATGTTTAGATTATTAAAGGTTAAGTGTAAAAATATTCAAATACATTCTGATTGATAAAAGAGAGAATAAGATACAGAAACAGTTGTTTGTTCCACTCACTCCATGCAGGCATGCTGTATCGCTGCTGCAGTTCTCTGAGGTCTCTCAGCCATGAATTCTTGATGGTAACAGTTCGGGCCTGCAGGGTGTATTTCCTCACAGAGTCCTCACGTTCGTGCCAGATCTCAAAGGCACGGTCGTCACCCTCCACTGTCTCATTCACATCAATGTTATTCAACTGCAACAAGATGAAGAATACAGAAAAGACCATTTAGGCTGCAGATCAGGACAGTAAAGAAGACATTTTTAAAAAGAAAAAATAAGGTGTTATATTAAAAGTCTTGCCTTCATCATGTTCTTAAAGACATATGCTTGTGTATCAGTGTTGCTGTCTCTCTTGGGTTTGCAGATTATACAGTAGTTCTTAAACAGGAAGACATGGCGGTGGTGACCTCTAGAGGACGTCCTAATTCCTGGAGCCCCTTCCCACACTTGGAAGGGTCCCTGATTTCAAAAGAAAAAAAATAAATCAACATACATAAACAGTCAAACAAAGCCTCTAATCACTGTACTAATCAGGTATGCCTCAGTAACTCCATCTACCTGTCTAATTGGCTCTCCTAATACTTCCAGCGTGGCAGGATAGTTCTCGATCATGGAGACATGGTGTGTATTCTCAGAGCGCTGTGGGAGTGCAGACACCATGGCGTATGCTTCTTCCAGTAGGCAGCAGTTCTGGCCATTTCTTGCCTTGTTTCGAATGAGCTCCTGAAGATGGCGGAGAAGACATTTAGGGATAAAATTGCTAGTAGATATGCAAGTGATCCAAGTTTGTGCATATTGTGTGTCAAAGCGGTCACCTTGAGGATGGCCTTATACTTCTGAATCCTGTCCAGCGGTTGTTGGAGGCAGGCGTTGATGCTGTGTACAGGGGGATCTCCAGGGTCTGCAGTGGCTTGCACTTTCTCAGTGTACTCCTACAATGTCATAAAAGGAACATTCTTAATTCTACAGTCAGCCTAATGGTGATGTATTTACAAGTTAGCAAACACATAAAGTATAAGTATATAGTAATAAGATACCAAAGATATTACAGCTTGGAAAAACAAATTACTTGCACACTGCCCAGCTATTACAGCTGGGAAAAACAAATTACTTGCACACTGCACAACCCACCCAGTACAGCAATAACAGTTCTGGCATTACCTTGAAGAAGCGGTGGACAGTCTTGTCACTGACTGCAGATTCAGCCTGACCCTGACCAACAAGATACTGGAGGTACTTCTCAAAGCCCTCCTTGCTCTTCAGGAAGCACATGGCTACATCATCATCTGTGTCACAGTCGTTCAATTTTGGGAGGAATGCCCTAAAAACAATAATTGTGGGAAAGTGAATGCACTGGAAATCTTTTAGGACGTTTTTCAGAAAGGAGAATCTTTTCCGGCTGTGTGGAAAACAGATGTTCTTTAATTTCTTTGTTAAAATATCTGACTAAAATAGCAAGTCATCAAGAGGTGAGCTCACTTGCAATGGAAGGACTTGATGTCATCGATGTTCCTGAATATGGTGTCCTTCTGGCTGCTGACATCAGGTGGTGCATCGGGGCTGTCTGTATGCTTCATGTGATGGGTGGTAAAGAAGTCTACCTCTCTTACGAACTCTGATTCACTTTTTATCAGGTCTTGGATCAGTTGGCTAGGGACAAGAAATAGTTGGTTATGACACATCCTTTAGTTCCAGTATTTGCAAGGTGAGTGTAGATGAACTTTACTTACAATAATTTCCTCTTGTATTCACCCTCAGACACTTCCTCTACACTTGTTTCTGGAAGGTCACCCGTATCAGCAGAGAGCTGGAAGAATACATATTTTTACTATTACTTTTAAAATATTCAAAGGCCGCAAGAAAACAAATTAATACTGCTGATAAAATTTAAGATGGTATGTTGGTGGATGAGTATACTTTGAGTTTCTTGTCCAGGTAGGCAGGTGAGACCCAGCCTTGGCGAGATGGTGTAGTTTTGGTGGGTTTGGTCCGGACTAACCATTTGAGTGGATGAGCTGAGTCCAAAACCTCAACATACTGTCCCTCCTTTAGAGAGATGGATTCTTTGCTTGCTATGGTGGGGTTGTAGTCAGCCGTTGCTACATAGATGTCAAACATCTGTAAAAGAAAAAAAAATGAAGCTAACATATGGTTTCACAAAATGCTGTAATAACATTATATATATCCAGGACCAGTATGCTGTAATGCTGCTTATTCTTGCATAATCTGTACCACAGAACTGAAAGTATTGTACAGCACTGCATCGTATTGTGCAGGTGTCTCTGTTTTTATGTACCATTCAAGTGCTTACCAGATTAAATGTTTAAGTGATACCTGTTTTAGGGGGATTTCCCTATATCTATGACCAAGGCAAACACTGAGGTGTATGGTAAAACAGTTCTGGACATCAAAATATCACACTGAGAACTTTCATATCTCACCTCCCCCCTGGCATCCCCCTCATCAGACTCAGAGGAGGAGTCAGCAATGAGGGAGGGAGGACGAGAGCGACCGTGGTGAGGTGATGGAGAAGGGGTCTTGGTCTCGTCGTCACTGTCAGCACCTGGTACACGTAATGAAGCTGGGGCAGCAATGGCGGAGGGAGTAAGTCAGAGGAACACAGGTCAGTGGTGCAAAGAACTAGAGAATGTACCATTAAAATAATCTATCTCTTTATCTTAACACTGATATGTACCATAAAAACGTGATGTTCCAGCAAGGAAGGGATTATCATACTTTACATGAAAAGAAATCAGTTTTTGGCTTTAATATGATAGCAGTTATTAGTACCCACTCCTGCTAGTTTGTCAGAGCTGGGGTAGGACCAGTCTCCTCAAAATCCCATTTCAAACAATAAGCCTAACTCTCTGCTGGCATCTACTGGTGCTTTATTTATTTGGTAATGTTCCTCAAAGCATGTCATTTTAGATTTTACTCTTAAACAATAACATATGTTTTGAGAAAAGTCCACAACAATCATTTCATTCTAAATGCTTTACTATGACTATGTTAGTATTAGGACAACATGCAAGAAAAGCTACAGTACAGATAACAGTTATTATCTGAGCTCTCCATATACATGTATGTCTGTGGGCATGTATTCCAGCTATAATTTGGTGAAACAAATTTCAAACTCATTTTGAAACCCATTTGGAAAAAAAGGACAGAAGAAGCATAAGGAGTTTATAAAGGAGAAAAAGACTTTTGAACAAGAGAAAACTGTTGCGACTCCACCATAATATATAATACATGTTTTTTCTGTATGTAAAAGGAAATGTAAGTCAAAATTGCTTCCACAAGTCATCTGCTGAGTAATCTAATGCTACAAAATTACCTCAATGGAAAAATAGATATTAATTGTGAAGCTGATGCACTTGGGATACATACTGGTAGTTTTGGGCCAAGATTTCATCCACTGGAGCACTTCGTGATTCTGTAAACTGTCTGAATAACAAATTAATGATTGGATGAGCATTTAATTGGTTGGGTTGCTAAACTGATGGATGTAAAAGTGGTAAATAAATTATGTCTGTATGAAGCAATGAGAGGTTTTAAGTCATATACTCGTGCATAAAGCAAAAACACGCTAAAATCAAGCACTAGAAAAGCAGGAAATGAACACTTCTTTGTCAAGTTTGGTGTGGACCTTAAATAGGAAATTTAATCCTAATTGCTAAAATATTCACAAAATAACACTTTTACTATTCTTGAATAATCAGAATTAACTCACTAGAATTCCACCAAACCTGACTGGCATGTGACAAAACACAGAAGCACTGTATCCAACATGTGGATTCTTTTCATACGTTTGGCATCTTCAGCATTAGTGACAAGCAAAGCCATTCATGATTCAACTGCAGTATCAGTATACGGCTACTCTTTATAACTTAGCAAAGGATTATATTCCAACCACAGACAACAACAGGTGATTTTAAGAGAAAGGGTCATCCTCTGGGTGAAGGCGTTCACAACATTTAAATCACCAACCATATGTTATCTGGTCACAGTTAGCTTGCTGTAAGTATGATGGTGATATGACTCATTTCACACTGATTAAAACAATCTGTTAATCTATTTCATCACATCCTACCACCAGGGGTACCCCAGGTAGGGGTATTAGTTGAACATGCAGATTGAGTGTTCACTGTTTATTCTAATCTACTACTGTCCTGATCACTAGATTTTAACAACCAATTTATTGAACAGCATATCCCATTACTTTAACCAATTACTACCACTGGCACACTGTCTAAGCTTCATGGGGGCTGTAGTCAATTGCTAACATAATCATTGCCTAATCTTGGTTGAAACCAGACTTGAATATGTTACTTTAAGCTTGGTTTATAGAAACACTTAACAACTTAATCAACTGACATAGTCTAACATTGCTCAATATTTTTGCTATGAATTACTTTAAACTGTGAATAGAATATAAACGGTCCATAACATAAACTTACCATGGGTAAACTTTGCTGATACCATTTCAGTGATCTGCGAGGTGAGTTTCATAAGGAATTCCTCTGTGCCTACTTCACCTAAGTAGGACATTTTACCCTCTTATGGCACACAAAAATAGGACAGAACACACATTTATGTTATTATAAACATAGACAATAATATATATATATAAATAATATATGCCAGGTATAAGGTGATCTCTCACCTATTCCCCGGCTAGCCTCCTCTTCTGGAGGACTAACTGTAATCCCAAGAACCCTGAGAAAAATTAAATATTAAATCACATTTTTATATATTTGCATGTATTCAAAATGTACTGTATACTCATATCTTTTTTTTAATCTGCAATGCTACTCTGAATCTCAAATCTAAAAGAAAAACTTACTCTGAGGGTTTGGACTCTTTCTTTGGTTGTGGTGCTAGGGAAAAGGGGGGAAACGCATATATACAATTACAATTAAAGGTGGTAAGAGGTTTTCACTCTAGTTAGTGTTTATGAAGATACTCAAAGGTCAATATATTTTCAATAAAAACCGCCTAGATGTCTTTGCTTTCCTTACTGTCATCAACCTCAAGGTGGGCAGTGCAGATGGACTGTCCTGCCCTATTTGTGGCAATACAGGTGTAGGCGCCAGTGTATTCTGTGCCCACGTCCATCAATATGAGACTGTGCTGGCACCCTGAGCTTGCTATTTTGTATCCCTTGGTATCAGGCTTGATCCACAGGACATCTTCCATTGATTCCTCCTTGAGCCAGGAGACCATGGGAGTGGGAGATCCTTAAAAAGAAAAGGGGAGGATTGAGAGTTTTTAACACCAGATAAAACACACATTTAGGATCTCCCCAGGTTACTGAAGGTGTAACAGATTTTAAAACAATCACAAACCTTCCACTTTGACAGACAGAGTGATGCTGGCTCCTTGTTTCACCTTCCTGTTGCTGAACCTTTCAATGAAGCGGGGTGGCACCAGGGGCTCCTTGGGGTCTGTGAAGATATGGTGTAAAACAAAAGCATAGTCACTTATAATATACTATCTTATAAACTAAAGTAGTTAATTGTGCCAAGTTTGGAGGATAAATATCAAATTACCGCGTTTATCTTGTGGCATAATCTCCCCAGGACCTGTTAAAAAAACACAGTTACTCTAAACATCTTGACTGCAAGTTATTATCTAAAAAAAAACGTGAAAAGGCGACTATTCAGGCGTTAACATACTCAGAACTATCAGTCGGGCAGAGGAGTAAGCAGAACCAGCCGCATTGCTGATGTAAGCAGAGTACTCCCCCATATCCTCTCTCTTCACCTCCAGGATCTCCAAGCTATGAACATCTCTCTTTGACAGCAACATAATCCTTTCTGAAGGTCGCAGAGGGTGGCTATCTTTGAACCAGTAGACTCTGGGTTTGGGGAAGCCTTGGAAGACAAAAGGTACTTCAGTAACAACATTTTCATAGGCAACTGCCTGTGTCTTTACTTCATTTATATGACTGTTACAATAAGCTGTTATTTGGTTGCCTCAGATGACGTACCCTTTAGTCTGAGCTGCATCTTAGCAATAGGTGCACCTGGACTGACATGAACATCATGAAGCTCCTCCACAACTTGTGGCAGCTGATCATCTTCAGCTACAGACTCAAATGTCTCTGTTTCCCTGTTCAAGGAGAACAGAACAGTACACCTCAAGAATTCAGTATTTATTTATATTATGAAAGATAATTATCAATATTTTGTACCATGTAACAGTAAATTCACCTGGACATGTAGCCCTTGGCACTGACATAGGAAGATGTCTCAGTGGCATCAGCGGCAGTGTCATAATCTGAGCTGCAAGACACTGACGGAAAAGATTGATGTACATTATACATAAAATCTGGGACAATTTGTGTGTCAGTGTGTGCTTGCATACTTTCTCAATGTGAGGACATTTTTGTCTGCACCCAGATGTTGGTTTAATGTGTAGCAGAAAAGAGAGAAAGATATGGCTTTGCCAGGCAAAAGCTTAACTCACTGTCAACTCTGAGTTCAGCCTTAGTGGCTGCAATGCCGCTGCTGTTTTCAGCTGTGCAACGATAGACGCCCATGTCAGTGGGCAGCACAGTGGTAATGATGAGTTGGTGGCAGCCTTCCTGGTCTTCATTGATCATGTAATGGTCATTCTCCTCCAGCAGTTTTCCATCCTTATACCAGCGAACGGTGGGAGGGGGCTTGCCAATCACAACACAATCAAAGCTGACTGGATAACCGTCTGGAACATCCTGACTTTGTAGCTCTGTCAAGAAGACTGGGGCAGCTGGATAACAAATATTTAGAAAACCCAAAAGTTTAAAATTACAACACACATAAAATCACACACAATTGTAAGCACACAACAGGGCAGAAAGTTGATGTTATTTTATATATTATCAAATGCAAAAATATACATGATATTGTCACAATATTGATCATCTTAACAGATTTAGGAAGTGTATCAAAAATGCTATAATAATCCTTACAGAGAGATCATACGTTTCTTACCCGGGGCTCCAGCAATCAGTACAGAAGGCTGTCTATCTTGTGTGGGGGTCTCCGTGCCATCTTGCGTGTAGCCCATCTTTCTAATTCGCAGCTCCACTTTGAGATGGCCTGCCTCCAGGATGGTGGTCTCCACGGGAACCCCATGGACTGTAAACATCTCCTGGAACCTCTTTGAGGCAACCTCGGCCTCCTTCCGTGAATCAAAGCGAATGTAGATGTAATTGTCATCCTCCCGGTAAGAGTGGGGATCTGGGGGACGTATGTCTCCTTCATCTGCGCTGACAAATGATTCTTCCTCAACATCTGGTGGAAGACGTGTGCGCAGAAGGCGCCGGAGACGTCTGCTTGCCTGCCTCAGTGACTCATCCATCTCACTACCTGAGGAGCTCTCGGGCTCGCTGTCAGCACTGTAGCCCACAGTCAGTGGCCGTCGCCCGGACGATTCTCTCGCCGTTCCTACTGTGACCTTACCGCTGTGAGAAGACACTCCATACTTGTTGGTGACCTCACAAGTGTAAACCCCAGTATCCTTTGTGGTGATGGCAGTGATGACCAGTGAGCAGGTACCATCATTGTAGATATCAATATGGTGGTGCTTGCCATCCGTCAGTGGTTCTCCATCCTTCAGCCACAGCACCTTATCAGGTTTACCTTCTGCCACACATTCTAGATGTATGGTGCCATTAGGTTCCTTGGTCTGGTCTTTATAGACCTCTTTAAAGACAGGACGCATGTCCTTGCGGGCTTTGTAGCCCTTGAAGGCAGCTTGAATCTTAATGGCAGCCTCTCTAAGCTCAGGCTCATCCTCTTTACTGGTCTCCATAGTCTCCTCTGTAGACACCTGTTTTACATCCGTCTTCTGAATTGTGGTTGTTTGCACTTCAGTCACTGTTTTCTCCTCTGCCATCTGGAAATGCGCAAAGAACCTCTCAGCGCTCAGAGTCTCTGACTCATTGGTCACTGTGACAGCAGACTTGCTGCTCTTCTTGAGGTAGGACACAAGTGTTGGACCCCCAGAAACAGACTCATCCTCTGAGCTGGTGCACAAGTTGGACTCTGTCTGCTTCTTAGACACGATGGTCTGCTCCTTCTCTCCTGATTTTATTTCCACTTTCTCTGACACCTTCATGTCTGTCTGTTCGGACTTCTTTTGACCACCTTTGCCGTCCTCCTCGGGTTGTTCAGAGATGGAGTCCAGAGTGGGCTCTCGACTCATGCGGCGTTTCTTGGCCGATTCCTCCCACAGCTCATGCACATCACCTTCTTCAGCAGCTTCTGGAGGCAGACTGGGCTGGCCCAGTGTCTCAGTCTCTACCTGTTTAGCCTCTGTATCTATAACCACAATGGAGTTTTCAATGTTACTATGTTGTTTTAAAAGGTTAGTCAGTACACACACAGCACAAAGCCTACTTAACAGTAACTGATGCTATGCTAATTAAAACTGTGCTTAATCCAACTAAGCATTACAGACATTCCTAAAGGCTTCAAATGCAGTTTGAGAAGGATACGTATGCAGAGGAGTATAACCACAGAAGAACAATGTCTTACCTGGGCATGTTTGTGGCTTTGTGGCTGTCTCTGTGTAACAATGATGAAACAAACACACATATTACATATTAGTTTAAAAAACATTTAAATGTCTCTATACTGCTATTATCGTTGTAATCTTATATTGTAGAGCTGTCTATATATGACAATAAAATACATAATAATTCTACAATTTTAAATAACTAATAGCACTACAAATAGCAGTACCAGGGACTCTCTGACAAGGGCTTTGATCTCATATCTCTAGTTCATGTAAAAAGGCAATAATGAGCAAAATACCCTGGCAAGCAAATAAACCCAAGTACACTATTTGATGAACTAAACCACACATCCACTCACCAAGCTGTACAGTCTGAGGCAACTCAACAGGCTCTCCAATCCCAGCTCTGTTGATAGCTGCCACTCTAAACCTGTAGCCACCGCCTGGGGTAAGATTTTCAACCACAAAATCTGTGTTGCAAACAGGTTCAGAATGACATGGAAGCCAGAGGGCACTGTCCACCAGCCGCATCTCCACCTTGTAGCCCAGAATGGGACTCCCTCCATCATGTAGAGGAGTGAACCAAGAGAGGGCGACAGACTGTGTAGTCTTACTGAGGACCTCTGGGTCCTCTGGAGGATCAGGTACAGCTGTTGGCATGGAGAGAAGCAGGGGTTCAATGCTTTTAATGCTATATTTAATCTACACAGATTGTAATGTTTATCTGTTGTACTGTTTTCTACAGTATCAAGACTATCTCACCATTCTGTTACATGTAGAGTTGCCATGTGTAGTAGTAGGTGGAGATTCTATTAACTTAGAGGATTTGTGTAACTCTCTGGTTTTCTCTAAGTAGAACCTTTAACATATGAAATCTAAAAAATAAATTCTCAATGATGCAAAAAGTGAAATATTAGAAACACTTTTTTGTCAAACACTTACTGATGATGGTGAGCTTGGCCAAAGAGAGAGCATCTCTAGCAGCAAATGTAATTTCCTGCTTTGGCATGAGAGGTGCCTGTCTCAGGACCAGGCGATAAGAACAGCCATCAATCCTCATAGCCCAGAGGTCACTGGCCTTGAGCTCAACGCCATTAGCATACCAGGCTACTTCTGTCGCAGGGACGGGCTCGGTGAGCTCAACACAAAACTCAACCTTCTCTCCCACTGCAGCTACCTTGTCCTCCAGACCCTTCACAACATCCAGCTGCCAACCTTAGGAGAGAAAATCCACAGAATGAAATGTAAAACTTTGTATAATTCAGGCAAGATGATGCTATAAATACACCTTCCCCAAGTCTTGTGGTGTTCACTTGGATGACTGACCTTTGACAGAGAGTTGGGCAGATGTGGATGCTGTGCCAGCTTTGAAGGTCACTGTGCAACTGTCTTTAATGCGCAACTCTTTCAGCAGGAGCAGGTGACGACGACCACTCTCAAATGTCACAATCTCAGCATTGGGGGTTTCCTTCACAGGTTTCCCATCAAGAAGCCAGTGGCAATCTTTGCTCTCAGGACGAGAAAGGGCGCACTCAAACAGCGCTTCACCTCCATCGAAGGTCTCTGCATTCTCCAGGCCCTGGACAATGTCAATGGGTTTGGCTGTAGAAAACATATGGAAAAATGAAGAAAGAAAGAGAGCACAATCAAAGAAGATTTTCAATAGTCTGGAATCATAAAGAAGTCAAATAATTTTGGGATTTGTCAACAAAGGGAACGGACTATGTGATGATCAGCAAGTGATCAATGTATTTGGCTGTGAGACATGGGGGAGTCAAGGAGACTCCCAAAGGTTGGTGCTCTTTCCATGTGGAGGTAAGCTCACCTTCCACATGAAGTGAAGCGACCACGCAGGTCCCCTGTGCTTCACAGGAGTATGAGCCTCTGTCCTCAGCGGACACACGGCTAATATACAAGCGAGCCACATTCCAGTCCTGCTCCACTACCACCCTTCGGCCATCAGGCTGCAATGGCTGCCCGTCTTTCTTCCACTGAGCCTTGACAGGCCTTGAGTACTGGCAGATGAACTCGGCCGGTTGGTTTTCGACTACCCGTAGGTCCTCCATCTCGCTCACCACTTCAACTGTGGGATCTGAGGTTTGGATCAGGGGTCATAGTGTCAGGGCTTAGCCATTAGATATAAGGATAAGAGCAGGACATGCCGAAGGACATATGGGCTTTATAACCCCCAAAAGCACGTTGTGAGTGATTTTATGGATTGTCCCGTACAAATTACATATACTATATAAGTCTTAAAGTCTTTAAGTATATTTCAATGTCCACTGTGGCCATGGTACTGTCCCATGTGACAAAATGAATAGGGGGGTCAAAAAGCCCAACCGTCAAGGCTCAAGAAGTGCTGGCAGCTGATGAGAAAGGAGGGGGTGATAAGTGGATAGAACTGCCACTAGTAGGTGAAGGAGGGTTAGAGGTTTTAGTGCTTGAAGGTTAGGGGCAGGCCTTGGTGGGATGGGATAAGGGAGGTGAATGGAAGATGAGTATTCAACAGCAGCCGGCCTTTATGGATGGGTGGAGCAGCACTTTCCTAACATAACATTTCTGTTGTGATTACTCAGTGGTTCACTAACTCTGTACAATAAAGCTTGGATAAAACCAAGCCTCCTGTATGGTATCCATTGAATGCAATCAACAAATTTGCATCACTCATCATTTACATTACCAAGAGACATGTAAACATAGGGCTGCACATTTAACCATATAATAATCACGATCATGCATTAAGGTTCTACCATTCAAATTCAACAGTGATAATTTAACAGTGCATATTCAGATGTATGTTTCTGGCATGTTGTGATTAACCAGTCTCTTCTTCCCAAACACAGTGGTAGCTTTGCGCAATGGCACTTTCACTTCCACATAGTTAAAGGGAAAAACATTTTAATCAACTCCTTTTAAAAGATGATTCCAGTAACACTTCTACAGTGCCATCTGCTAGTGACAGAACTGGCACAATCATTCACTTGCAGAGTCATTCACAATCCATGAATGTACCTCGGATGACACTTTAAGAAAAGACTCACAAATAAAATCTCAGTTTAAGTGCAGTGTGTCTCCCATGTGTTTTTGGCAGATTCTGTGTTGGATTGTAAGGCAGAGAGACGTCTGAATGGTGTGTAACGCAAGCTTGTAAGTAAGAGTTCATTTATCCAAACTAAAGGACACTGGTTCATATATACCGCACAGAAATCTGCAAAACTGCAGGGAGACATCAGAGACATCAGTGAACAAGCAGCAACACCCAGTTGTTGCTAGCCTCATCCTGGCGATGAATAAGACTTGATGAACGAAGACAACAAGAGAGTCCAGTGCAAAGTTTGAATGTGGACCGATCTGACTTTATGTCAGATTAGTTCTGCCTGGGATAAAAGCCTTCAATCTGTCTACAGGGAAAACAACAAATGCCAACAGACAACAGTTGAGGACTGTGTGTGTGTTTATGTACCCACAAGGTTTATAGCTGGCAATGAAAGAGTATGTCATTTTCTGGTCTTGCGTGGTTGGTAACAAATCTAGCACAGAGTAGCCACCAATAATAGCAGATTCTTGCCAATCACACAAAAGTACAGTCATAGTTGTTAAATGGTTGATGTGTATTTTAGGGGTACATTAAAATACATCGCTTATGTACTTATCCTTGAGGGTTGTACGGGGGCTGGACCCAATCCTAGATGGGGTACACCCTTGGACAGCTCACTAGTCACATGGCTGAAGTTCAAGAACTATAAAACCCCTCTGTTCCCAAAGATGAATGAATAGTTGAGATAAATAATCTCAAAAGTGAGAAACATAATCGTGATTATCATTGATTTATCATTTCAGCAGCCCAATATACAACACATAGGAAAGATTCAGAGATAATTCAAAAGGGTAGCAGAAATAAAATTAACCTAAATAATACCTTTCTATTAAATTAATTGATAATGGGTTTAGATGTTACTCTGCCCTAATCTAATAAAACTTTGCTGTGGTGCTGCACCCAGTTGTGTGTTTTGGTTGTAACAAAGCATACAGCATGGAGTTCTCTACCGCCATTATTATTATTATTGATGAAATTAGAAAACAATGCTGCTCATGCACGATAAAGCACTGTAATGTAAAAATATCCACTAATCTACTCACGAACTGCAAACTTTTTAAGGAACCCTGCAGAAAACATCGTAATACATGGTATATTTACTCTTACTCTTTAAGAATTGCACCCATTTTTTTTTGTTTTTGTTTGGACAATCTTTGAGTAATCAGTTGAAATTTGGTATGCATACTATTTTAAATCAAACGTATGCAGAATATGGCAATTAGTTACACTTTAGTGACAACAAAACAAATTTGGATTTAAAATAAACTACAAATATTGTGTTTATAATTGAATTAAAATTCTGCAGGGTCTAAAAGGACTAAGATATTGCTTATCTCAGTCTCTACTGATCTTACTGATCTTTATAACACGATACCTTTGACTAAGAGCTTGGCGGTTGATGTTAAGCTGCCAGTTTTGAACGTGACAGTGCCAGAGTCATCTGTAGCCAGGTTCTTTAAGGTGAGTGTGTAGATGTGGCCCTGGCTCAGCCCTATCTCACTACTGGGGCTGTTCTCCAGCAAGGTGCCATCCAGCCACCACTGCACCTTGCCAGGTGCCCTACCAGACAGCTGGCAGGAGAAGGTTGCCCATTCTCCAACAAAGACGTCAGTGGCCTTAAGACCACACACAATGAAGACTTCTTTCACTGTTGAGTGAAAAACACACATACACATGTACTGAGCCTCTGAGTTACTCGTTATCAGCACTATACTACTCGACAGAGCAACATACAATACAAGACAGAAAGGACAGAACATCATGACTCATCACAGTTTACAAAGACGTAAGCAGTCCTAAAAAAACCCTACTATTCTATTTGTAAAAATAAATTGTAGAATACAGTCAGAATCAAACTAATTAGCCTTAACTAAACGGACGCAACAGTATTGAGATTGGCTACCTTGCACTGCCAAAGAAGCTGTAGTCAGCTGGTCTCCTGCGTCACACGTGTAGTAGCCACTGTCTTCAGGCTCCAGGTTCCGCATACAGAGCTCGTGAATGCACCCTTCCTGCCTCATCTCATACTTCTTACCGGGCTGGAGGACCATGCCTCCTTTCCTCCACTCAACGCGAACACCTGGCTTAGACATCTCACAGCGTAGGGTAATATCATCACACTCTATGGCGTCCTGGTTCTTGAGCTCTTTGCGGAAAAACACTGGAGCACCTGGTTAGAATTTAAAATGGGAAAGTTTGGCATCAGATGTTGAGATGGAACGTTTGGCATCAGATAGTTGAGATGACAAGACAAACATCTCTGAAGGGACTTTAGATAAAACTTTTGCTGATGCACAATGATGCCAGACTGGGTGTATGGTTGCGGGAAGTGGAAGTTCAAGAATATTTCAGCTGTTCATTTCAATCTATCTTGCTCCACATTCTTGAATGTGATCGAGGTGAAAGGGGACTTTTTGTTTTTTTTAGAGGTGGCATCTTTCTTTACCTTCCACAGTCAAGGAGACATCACACTGTGCATCTCCAGTGTCACAGGTGTACATTCCTGAGTCATCAGGCACCAGGTTGTGGATACGAAGCTGGTGGAATGTTCCGTTCTTCTTCAGGTCATACTTGAGACCTGCTTGGATGACCACGTTGTTTCTGGTCCAGGTAACAGTTGCCTTGGGGTCAGAGATGGTGCAGGCCAGAGTGACAGTTTCACCCTCTAATGCCAAAGTGTTGTGTGGCTTCTCTAGTATTAGCACTGTAGATATGGGAAACCCAAAACTAGATTTAATAATGGTAGCATTTATATGCAGGCTTTTCCCTTTTCCCTTCCTTCACAACCCTCGCATAAATAATTAATAAAGCTATAAACATAAAAACATACATGCATGCATGCAGTGACTATTACTATATGCTAACACAAACTTTACAGCATAGTGATAAAAGATCTGATAACTTCATCAGAAATATACTGATTTCAATTTTGTAAAAAGAAACAAAGCTATTAATCAGTAAAATTTAAAATGAGTGCTGAAAGTAATCCATCTTCAAGAAAATATTCTACAAATTAGAGTAGAAAGTTAAAGTAGTTTATCTCCTTTGGTAGCAATATTTGTGTTAGCTAAATGCAACGAATGGAAAACGTTAGGATGGTGAAGATGATGGTGCCAGCAGATTTCCATTTGCCAAGACAAAGCTGATGGTTGATGGAAATGGATGTAAGGAGTAAAAATCTCTAGTGACCATATCATCTCCTTTACCTTTGGGTTTCTCCTCCACCAGAAGACAAGCCACAGTCTTCTCTTCTCCCACTACAAAGGCAACATCCCCTGATTCATCTGTGGTCACCATCTTCAGGACCAAACGGTGCACTCTGCCCTGGCTGCTCATTTGATTCAGATCGTTATTTTGAAGGAGGTTGTCCCCAAGCCACCATTCCCCGTTTGTCACGCCAGAGTGTGACAGCTCAACCTCAAAGACAGCATCCTGCCCAGTGGTCACAGTAATATCACAGAGTTCTCGTAGGATGCGCACATGCTCTGAGGGTGAATGGGATGATAGGAGGTCAGTGATCAGATCTCAGCAGAATTTCCAGAAGGCATCAGTAAGAAGGTGACCAAGAATCTAATTTACTTACTTAATAAGTAAAGTTTGACAACTGGCAACTGATAGACAATCTTCAGTAGTACTCGATTTTACAGAAAAACTAAACTGTACCAAATACTAGAAATTGCACAAACCTCCGTTAAAGTCTATTCACTGTATCTGTAAGGTGATGACCCACAACAAATATCAAGGCAAATATAGTAGAATGCGTAGCATCAGATAATTACGTAAAAGTCAAACTACATGCCAACTAAGACATCGCACTTATAACTCAAGGACTGTGAAATCCGAGAGACATAGATGCTGAGTAGAAGATATGATCCAGTGCTTGTTAATGGGAGGGATGTGTAAAATGAACTTCAGGAACGATGAAGACAAGAAGAGACAAGAGAACATAGATGAGATGAAGCTGTGTTCTGTTACCTTTCACAGTCAGGCTAGCAGTGCTTCTCTTGTCCCCTGTATCGCAGATATATTCTCCACTATCCTTCACATTCACGTTGTGTATGATCAGGATGTGGGTGGTGGCCCTCTGCTCCAAACTGTACTTTTCCCCATGGATGAGCACAGTTGAGCCTTTCAGCCAGGTCACCTTGCAGTCGGAGTTGGAAGTCTCGCAGGACAGGGTGGCCTTGTCTCCCTCAATGGCCTCTTGACTTTCCAGCTCCTTCTTGAACAGTACAGGTGCGGCTGCCAGAAAGATCATTATTAATTAGGATGAATTATTTTAACAATTTCTTCGGTAAACACGGCCACCACGAAACACAAATATACTATATACTAAAGAAACATAAATACTCACAATTTTACCAATTCCGTACCATCAACACGCTTAAACCAGAGCATGAAAATAATTGTTAAGTCACTGGTTTATCTACCCCAAGTTTGTGGTAAAAGACTTATAGACTGAATCAGAAATCCAGCCACAAATTAAGCTATTGTAATATGGTGAATCACTAAATAACCATGCCATACATAATGTGTGAGAACCATAAAACAACACAGAAGATTCAAGAGTGCTAAGACAAAATACAAATACTAAAAATGCTTTTGTTTATTTTTGTGGGGATGTTTTCCTTTAGAGGTGACAGGACATGAAGGAGGAGTTATTGTGGGTGACATGCAACACAAGTATCCTAGCAGGACTTGAACCTGGGACATTGACAACATCCATCAGCGTCTTACACCACTAGGGCACCACAACAATACAGAATTTCAATTAATGAACAACAGGAGTTTAGTTTACATTGTGCGTGCAGAAAACTTGCTGTAAACAAGAATTACAAGGAAGCATATTGATCAACATAACCAATATGTAATTGGAATACTAAATTGAAATGTAAAAGTGAAATATTGTCAGTTGACAATGTGAACATGCACACTGTAGAAATGTGACGGAATAAGTAAAGTGCAGATTGGATACAAATACAAAGTCAGTATAAAGTGGAAAGATAAAATAAAAAAGGAGCCTTAGGAAATCACAAGCATCCATGTTCTGTGATGATCTTAAAGAACAACAGAAAGTGTCCCACAAGGAGGATGATATAGACAAATGATATATGAAGTTCAGATGTTATTTTACTGTATTCATTCTCATCCCAAGAAATAAAATGCATATTCCCCTTACCTCTGACTGTCAGAGAAGCAGTGGAAGTGTGGTTACCCACTGTGAAAGTGACTGTCCCAGAGTCAGCTTTGGTGACGCCTCTGAGTGTGAGGCTGTGTACGCGGCCTTCGGTGTTAATCAGGTTCATTTCATTATTCTGTAGAGGGACGTCCTGGAGTTTCCACTGGGCCAGAGGTGCCTCCTCGTGAGAGACCAGACATTCAAAGCGGACGTCCTCGCCCTCGTAAACAACGCAGCTCTCCAAGAATTTCAGTATGTTAACCTCGACCTCTGTTTGACAAATACATTTCAGCAGAATAGTTAAATAATTTTTGTCTGAAGTGAGCATGTGCTTGGCAAAGATATAATTCAAAGTGTGATTAAATATATAAAGATTCATGATGAGTTGTTATTGTGAGTATTAAGTGAAGAAAAACAATATAGGGTGTTAATGTTCATGTTTGTGAAGAAAGACCAGAGACAGGCACAAATGATGAGATGAGATCGGTGATCAAACTCAACAGAAAATTGTTTGCGTGAATAACTACAAGTGCTTTGAAAACAATGAACTGCAAAGCAAGAACACACGTGGGATGAGAAACAATACTTGAACATCTAAATGCCGTCAAGAAGAGAGCAAACGGGCTCTTTAGATGAAAGATCGATGCAAGCCATGATCAAGTGGTGGAGTGATGTGGGACACGCAGAAAGAGGTGACTCCAGAGGGTGCATGAAAAGGTCTTAAATAGCCAGCTCCTACCCAGCACAATAAGGACAGCTGAAGTCCTCTGGCTGCCGGTATCACAGGAGTATTCTCCTGAGTCAGCTCTCTGCAGCTTATAGACAACAAGCTCCACAATGGTTCCTTCCTGTTTCAGGTGATACTTGCTGCTGGATGCAAGCACCCTGTCGCCACACCTCCAGACCACAATGGCTCCCGGCTTTGTGGTCTCACAGCGAAAACTAGCGCTCTCCCCTGCCTGTCTTTCAAGGTTCTGCAGCTGGGTTTTGAAAAGCACAGGCTGGGCTACAGGGGAGGACGGCCAAGAGAAAGTAACAGAGGTAGAGTGAGTCATACATTCCCTATTGATTATAGTCACTGATAGCTTAAGCATAATTAAAATGCCAGAAAAGGGAAGCCTCTTCTGTATTCTTTGTTTTCATCACATACTAATGTATAAACAACCAACATTAACTAAGATTAGATAAGATAAAATCTTATTTTTTTATTTAATTTTTTTCTAACTATTTATATAGAAATAACTTTCAAGTTTATAAATTATCAAGCATACCCTTCACAGCTAGTTGTGCAGTGCTTTGACAGTCACCACTGTCACAAGTGTAACTCCCAGAATCCTCTGGGTCTACATCATGGATTAATAGTGTACCCAGGTGTCCTGCTTGTTTAATTTCATACTTGGCACAAGGACAAAGACCAAGTTCTCCTTTCCTCCACTCCAAAGGAACACCAGGTTTAGAAAGCTCACAGTGCAGAGTTACACTGTCCCCTTCATCAGCCATTTGGTTTTCAAGCTCTTTTGTGAAAATAACTGGGGCAGCTGATGAATGAAAAGAAATAACCAGATGTTTATCTACAGTAGTCAAGAATGGTGATGGAAAAGAAACAGTGAGATAAAGAAGAGGGGATTAAAAAATGAAAGGAAAGACTTGATGGCAGAAGACTGCAAAAGACTCTGACATGGTCTCCATCCTACCATTTACTACAAGAGAGGCCGAGCTTATTGTGTCCTCTGAACAGCACGAGTAGCTTCCTGTGTCTCCAGGTCTCAAATCGAAGATCTGTAGCTTATAACTGAATCCCATTTGTTGCATTTGGTACTTTTCTCCACAACTCAGGACTTGAGTTTCCTTCTTCCACTCTACGGGCAGTCCAGGTTTAGAAAACTCACAGTACAGAGTGACACTGCCTCCCTCCTCAGCCTCCTGGCTCTCCAGGTCTTGAATGACTACGACCGGAAGAACTGGGGATTGAATCAATTAGATAAGGTGTTGATGTGTACGGTTGTGACTTGCAGACTTTCAAATGAGATACTATGAAGACTACAGTATGCTCTGTAAGAAATATACTATTTTTTAACTTACCTGACTAAGCGTTTGATAAAAATATATGGCTGCTTTTGTGTGTACACACACATACACAAACATACAACAACACAGATGCCATTCTTCAATTCAATTCAAAACAGTCTGTTTAAACAAGTCTGTTTAAATATAGCTCTTAATTATTCCTATCTTGAGACAACAGCAATCCAGAATACAGGAAAATCTGGATTTCACGAGTGAATACAAAGTGAGCAACAACAATAAGGACTGATGACAATCTCCGCATACAAAACTCCACATGGGAAACACAACACTACTGAGGGGAACAAACAGTGTGCAGGTTCCACAAAACTTCTACCTTGTCCATTCACTTTGTTATCCATCTTTGTAGGCTCTGGCTTTGGTGTGACTTCAGACACAGCAGAATTTTCAATCTCTGCAGGTGTAATTAATTTATTTAGATCTTAAACATCTACTGTAATAAACACAGAACACCAAAAATGACAAAAGATGTTGCCGATCTGATAAATCCTACAAAAAGCACAAACAGCAACAAAAACAACAGTGAGGCCCAACTAAATGCAAGTGCCAATACGCAATCTTCAACTCATCTGCCGACAAGAACAAATGGGCCACAACTATTGACCCAGAACACAAACAACATGCTGAATACAAACAGAATCCCATTTGCACTCAATACAAACCGTGTTGTCAGAGTTTCTTAATAACACTGCCACATACCTTCAATTCTCTTTTTGGATTCCTGCTTCTCAAGTTCAACTTTGGGGGTCACTGCTGAAGCTGGTGCCTTCTCTGCTGTAACTGAATTCACGTAAAGGCATATAATGTAGGTTTTAATTCAGCTGACATGAACTGGAAATTATCACCGACAGACTGAAGCAATGTGCCACGCAGGTTTTAGAGCCATAATGTCCAAGACAGACTACACTGGATTTCTGTTTGTCTGAAACTGATGGTGACAAAAGCGCTTCACTTGTTCTACATGTGTTCATGCCGTGTGCAACAAGAAAAGCAGTATCTTAAAAAACGTACAGACAATGACGCAGTGCAATAACGAAGAGACAGTTGAGCATTAAATACTAGCTATGGCCGAACTATAATACAACATTCAATATAATTCAATATTTATACCATCTCTCCCAATATTCATACTGTGACATTCTGTGAACCTAACCATAAAACATTAAACATTAAATTAATTTTGTCAGTTGCTCACCCCTTCCTGACAGTAGCACAAACAAGCCACAGCCAAACATACAGCATGCTTGGTACACCATAGAAAGTAAGAAACATCAGTAGAGATACAACACCTGGGAGTGGGATGTTGCAGGAGACAAGGAGGAAGCGCAAGGCCAATAAAGAGCTAGAAATCTTTGCATACCTTCTACTGGCTCTTTGCTCCCCTGCTTCTGTATATCTTGTTTTGCAGCTTTTCCAGCAGCAGTGTTTTCAACTGGGATAAAACACAACATTAACCTCGCAATCTTACAGTGATTCTATAACCTGAGGACAACAGTTGACCAGAGCCAGTAAAGCACACATACACTGTCACACAACTGTTTACAACTTGGCATAATGTCAAAAAATAAGGGAAAGCCATATCTGTGAGAACGCAATAAAATCAATAAAGCTAGAAGCAAAAACAATTAAAGCCTCTCTCTCCTCTCATAGATAATTATCAATAATCCAACACATAGCAGGAACCCAACACAGTGCTGCCAAAGTGCCATAAACATATAACACCATAAAGTATGACATTCAACACAGAAGGAGTAAACAAAGCATTAAATTACAGGACAAAATACTGCACCAAATGGAACTGACAGAACATAAACACACGAGGGCTAACAAGAAAACAAAAACCACATTCTTTATACATTTTAAACAATGACCAGGCAACATGAAACTGTAAATCCAAACTGAGATGCCTATTCCCTCCATATTTTCCAGTACTTCTTAGTTTTTCTACAAGCTTGAAATTGCATCTGGAATAAAACAAATGACGACCATGCTTACAGTGCTGACAGATGTCACATTGTCGGACAAAAGCCACAAAGAACACAAGTCTCATTACCTTCACCTCCAACTTTGAGCTCTTGTGACTCTCTCTGAATCTCCTGATTGAGGAACTGCTGTTTAGGAGCCTGTCCAGTAGATGGCAGTGTCACAGCTATGAAATTGAACACAACATTGGGCCCACAATTTGAAATTGCCTTAGGATAGCACTTGAGACATGTCTCCATATCAATAAGTCAGCTTCCATGCAACAAAGTAAGCCAGAGACCACATTAAAACACAGATATTGAGACTGAAACAAGGATTTTTTTCCCTACAAGCCCAAAATTGACACAGATTATTTTAACGGGTGAAAAAAGCCACATTTACAAGTACGCAGGTGAAACAGTGCAGGTTATGTATAAAATATAAGGTTGGGTAAAATTATTGAGTATTTATCCTTAAAGGAACTCCTGAAAGCAACAAGACACAATATGAACCAGCTCATGACCCAACAAGTTTCTGTTTGACAACACCAGTCAGCAGCCAAGACATGGAGTGCTTCTCACTTTTGGATTAACAAAGCAATGCATTGCACACAATTATTACTTACAAATGCACATGGGCTAAATAACCAAGCCAAGCTAAGAATCTTCAGAGAATTACCTTCTACTGTCTCATTTATCTCTTGCCTCTCGTGCTTGTCTTTAGCAGCCACAGACGGAGCTTCAGGTGTCTTTGCTGGATGCAAATATAATACGGAAATAGAAATGCTGCATATAAGTATACATGACAGCAACCACTGACATTGCCAGCCCTGCAGTATTTAATATAAATATGAGATATGAATATCAGCACAGCCTATAACTTCACAAATTCTATAACATTCTGAATTCTCAAACCCCACAATTATGTAAAGCAAAAATTATGTGAAGGACAACGAATCATGCCACACACAAGATAAAGTATGCAGATGTAAAATCCAGCCAACAACAGATGTCTTTCTCTGTCAACATGATACCAACACAACTGCCACAAATACAAGGGTTCTTATTTCTATTTCCTAAATTAGCTGGTTATGCTACATAATGTATACTGCAATACAACACTGAGAAAAAAGACCCACATGAAAAATACAAAACACAATCCCACTATTTGACACAGCAGAGGCAAACAAAACTGCAACGTAAAAAGTCTGGTAAACTAGAATGAAAATAATGCTGCAAGAAAACATTTATCATAACCTATATAGGCCAAAATGTACAGGCCCAATTACACGGCAGGCTGCACTTGTCTACACAAAGGCCATTATCAAGATGGACAGAGCACATAAAGCTGAGAGTCAAGCCAGCATATTGCCATCTTCCTTCCATACCTTCCGTTGTTTCTTTGGTCTCCTGCCTCTTAGATTCCAGTTTAGTAGCTGAAGGAGGAGCTGACAGCTTCACAGCTGAGAGGAAACAATTTCAATGCTGTTACACACTTGATCCTTTACTGCAATTTACCATAATAACAAAAAACTAAATATCACTTGACGAAATGGCTCATAGCTTGTAAATTAAAACAATTTCAGGAATGAGCAAGCACCACAAACCACAGTTGTAACAACAATACAACCTGAACAAATATCAATTCGATTGTTTGATTAAATAGACAATTTATGGACATGTATTGTCTATGGTCACCACTATTACCAATTAAAACAAAAACGTAACATACACAAAAGAGCAGCAAGCAAGGTCTGCTGAAAGGACAAACTGTGTTGTGTGAAAAAAGAGGATTCCTTTGTTTCTCAAATAGACATTAAAAAAAGAAAAACTGAAAGAAGTGATGAAAAATCCTCTAAAGAAAAAAGAAAAATTCAAACTCTGTATCACAGCACAGAGCACACTGCAGAAAAGCAATCCAGGCGAAGACATCCAACCTATTGATTCACCACATACAATGTGAATGATGCATTTCATGAATCTGATGTCCCACAAAGAATGCTGACATTTTATGAGCCAGCAAACAAACAAAAAAAACAAAGTAACAGCAACAGAAATATTATAGAAAGTGCTTCAATACAAGTTTTTCAGTCAAGACAAAATCAAATTGTATTAAAAATATTCTTACTATCAATTCCACAAAAGGTTTTAAAGCCGTCAACGTGATTCAGTTTGAACAATAAATCTCCTGCAGGGACAAAAATATGTTACACAACAAAATGTATTTTTCTAAATTACAAAGACACATCTTATGCAATGTAGAAATCCTCCTACCCTTGATCTTCAGGCTGGCTGTTGTCTTCTGGTCTCCACACACACAGCTGTAGTCTCCGCTGTCTTCTGGCAACACTTTATTGATCAGGAGTTCATTCACAGAGGCCTTCTGCTTCATCTGGTACTTTTCTCCAGACTTCAGGACCTGTGTGCCCTTCTTCCACTCCACTGGAACTCCAGGTTTAGAGATCTCACAGCACAGAGTAACGCTGGCTCCCTCCTCAGCCTCCTGGCTTTCCAACTTCTGTTTGAAGGTCACTGGTTGGGCTAAGCATTTATTAGTTGGTTAGTAACCAGTGGCATGCCATGATGTAAAACATAAAATGACATATAAACCAAAACAACAAACACTGAGAGGTTGCAATTGCCAATGACAGGCAGACCATAAAACAAACATGGCTAAATGTGTACATATAAAAAGTTGCCTTCAACAATCCTCTCCCTACCCTTAATATTGAGGCTGGCTGTTGTCTTCTGGTCTCCACACACACAGCTGTAGTCTCCGCTGTCTTCTGGCAACACTTTGTTGATCAGGAGTTCATTCACAGAGGCCTTCTGCTTCATCTGGTACTTTTCTCCAGACTTCAGGACCTGTGTTCCCCTTTTCCACTCCACTGGAACTCCAGGTTTAGAGATCTCACAGCACAGAGTAATGTCGGCTCCCTCTTCAGCTTCCTGGCTTTCCAGCTTCTGTTTGAAGGTCACTGCTTGGGCTGAGCATGTATTAGCTGGTTAGCATTCAGCAGCATGCCATTACATAAAACATATATATTTATATTATATATTGTATAATATATAATAATTATACAAGAACAATCACACAACAGAAAAACACTGACAATTTGCAATACAAGGTGAAATGCTACTCCAAAAGAAACATTTCTAAATATGCACAAATAAAAAGCTCTTCTATAGAATTTTCTGTAAATGTTACTCAAGCTGACTCCTTGAAAATTCTCTCCCTACCCTTGATCTTCAGGCT